TGTTATCACGGCCAACTGAGATTTATTTCTTCTTGCCCCATACCATGTTTATTCTTGGAAAAGTCATTCACTAGCTTTAAAAAACCTAAAGTTGTTTAAACTTTATATGGGGCCTTTAAAATTTAATGAATTTAAATCAGAAAGCAAATTTTAGAACCACAAGTCAAGTGAAGTTAACTAAAGAAACGCAGCGAAGGTTTTGATGCAATTCTGTGGTAAGTTTTCCCATATTTCCGTTATCACATAAATATTGCCTCGTTAAAGTAGAACTCGATAAAGGCAAATATTATGACATAAATCAATTACTGATATGGGACTGATAGGTCCCCCATCAAATCATTCACTTCATTACAATTAATATTTACTAAGGCACCAACCGGCCTTATGAAATTAAACTGCAAAAGGCGGAATGAACAGCAATATAAGAAGAAAGTGTTGAAACGTAAAGGGTGACGATTTTTGGCTACGACCGAAGATGGCCGAATATCAAGCCCTACCCTTTCAAAGAATTTGATTGGTTCCTTGGAGAATCTTAGGCTATTTTCGTGATAACAAAATCTTCGGCCATCTTCGTGATATAAACATCTTCGGCCATCTTCGTGATATAAGCATTTTCGGCCATCTTCGTGATATGAACATCCTCGGCCATTTTCGTGACATAAACATCTTCGGCCATCTTCGTGATATAAGCATTTTTGGCCATCTTCGTGATATAAACCTCTTCGGCCATCTTCGTGATATTAACATCCTCGGCCATTTTCGTGACATAAACATCTTCGGCCATCTTCGTGATATAAGTATTTTTGGCCATCTTCGTGATATAGACATCTTCGGCCATCTTCGTGATATAAGCATCTTTGGCCATCTTCGTGATATAAACATCTTCGGCCATCATCGTGATATAAGCATCTTCGGCCATCTTCGTGATATAAGCATCTTCGGCCATCTTCGTGATATAAGCATCTTCGGCCATCTTCGTGATATAAGCATCTTCGGCCATCTTTGTGATATAAACATCTTCGGCCATCTTCGTGATATAAACATCTTCGGCCATCTTCGTGATATAAGCATTTTCGGCCATCTTCGTGATATGAACATCCTCGGCCATCTTCGTGATATAAGCATCTTTGGCCATCTTCATGATATAAACATCTTCGGCCATCTTCGTGATATAAGCATCTTCGAGTACATCGATGCTCTACCGATACATAAATAACCTCAGAATTTGCTCATTTGTACATTGAATTTTATCACTGAAATAAATTTTTTAGTAAGGATTATTTGAGTTAGAACTGATCACATGGCAGCGATCTGTATTTTTATCTACAGGGTGTCAAATAAGTCCCGTCCCCCCTCTACAGCAAAAAAAACAACATATATGGTACCAAGTGTGATATATCATTGGAAAGGTCTTCAAAAGTTACATTGGTTCGCATATATCTGACATCAACCTGACAAAATTTTACATTGTATCAAGCGAGGTGACTATAGGCCTAGAAACATGGCAATTTGGAGTATTTGGCAGGGTCTTAAGAATCGGGTATAAGAAAAGTCAAAGGACCTAAAAATGACACCATATGTATATGGTAATGGATTAAACCAATTTCTGGATCGGGTTAGATGTGTAAAATATAGAGATGCAAGGAAAGTTGTGAAACCTTTTTGTTACAAGTGGAATGCGAAAAAAGGTTAACTTTTTGACATATTTCTGAGGTCATATCCTTCTCATTTTGATGCAATAAAAGCTTCTTAAGGAGGGTAAACTAACTATAAAAGACATAGTGAAAATATAGGTAAATTTTATCCAAAATACTTGAGGGTTTGTGAGTTAACTTAACTTTGGATGCTCTTTCCAATGGTATATCACACTAGGTACCATATATTAAGGTTTTGGCTGTAGCAGGGGGGGGGACTTATTTGACACCTTGTATACAATAAAACCTAGTGTTCCAGTTTGGAGATGTTCACTGCGTGTTCCACCAAAGGAGGTGTGCTACTTTAGAGGTGTTGAACTTTATAGGTTAAACTGTACATATATTTCAATGCAATAGCTGTCATGTAAACCAATCAATGTCTTTAATAGTTGCAATATGTTACGCATATGTGTACACTAAGTTCTTGTTTAATGTCTTAGCAAGTTTCCTGTGAATGTGTGCACTGGCTGGCGGATTGGGGGGGGGGGAGCGTCGGCGGTAGGGAGCTTTCAGTATACTTGGTCTCTAATACACGAGCATCTTAATTGTTATTTCTGTTTGTTCTCTTCATGAAGCGTTTATCAATTTAATTATTGTTAGCAGCATTGAGGGCATCATTTAACCCAGAAAAAATTTGTGCCCAAGAATATTTTGGCTCAGTTTTTTAGGGTACAAATAAGCGGGCCTCTTTGGGGATTACTGGGCCTTTTAGGACCTTGTTCTCTATTTCTAGGCCTTTTAAAAATATACCTTAAATTTACTAAATTTGGGCCCAATTTATAAGGGGCCCAAAATGGAAAATATTTTTTCATTCTTGAAATCCCCCCCCCTTGTTGATTTTTAGAACCACCCCTGGTAATGTGCTTGGGAAGCTGTTAATAGTTATTAATTGCTCCATATGGTCTCCAGGTGAAATGCAAATATTTTTCAGATTCATATTTATACATTACTTGTTTATTTGTTGCTTTCACCGGGCAGAGTGCTTATTAGTTCCTGTCTTTCAAGAAATTATTTCATAATTGAATACAATATTAAACTCCCTTACATAAGTCTGGTAAAATATATTTTACTTTTAAAATATACACTCTCCTCACTCCTATGTTATTTCGAAAACCGGGAGTCACATTTTGAATCACCTATTAAAACCTGTTTATGTTTAAATGTTTATCTACAAAGTCATAAATTTCAGAAATATTAGAGAGATTTCGCAACTCACTTGTAAATTGTTTATTATTCCAGTATAACGTATAACGTATGGAGCGTTTGATTACGTCATCATTTATTGTCCAACTCTACGTATGGACGAAGATCTATAAGAATATCGGGACAGCATCTTTTCCATTCAATCGAGGTTTGGTCATGCAGCCGAAGCTAAGCCATACAACCGAATGTAAGCCATACAGCCGAATTTTGCCGATTCAATCTGACGGAGAATGCCAAGCCTCTCTTTTTGACCAATTAGAGACGTCCTCTTCACATTCGTGGTACCCTCATTCAACTTCGTTTGCAAAGAAAATCTTCGGCAAACTCCGGCTTTTCTTGAGATATCTTCGGTTGCAAGCCAAAAGTCGACACTCTAAGAATATCAAGCTTATGGACGTATAGGATTGCGCAATATAATATGAGGATATAATCAAACGCTTCATACGTTATACACGTGAAAAATAAAAATGCTATAAGTGAGCTGCAAAATCTCTCTAATATAACAAAGGAGCAAAATTAAAAGATTCATACATTGATAGACTTTAGTATGGTATTCATGGAAAGTTTCGATTGTCATACTTATGAAGGGGAGTGTAGTATAGCATCAAGAAGTCCAATCCTATATATGGGAAGGCGCGCAAACATATTTGAACTCAATACTTACATACATCGTCTGTTATAGCCGTTATTCAGTTATCATTTTCTATTCATAAATCACAAACATAAGTATAGAATAGTGGACATTAATTTCTTTTTGAAAACAAAATAAGAGTTCAAAAGTAAGTTAGATTTATTGTAATAAAATGAACCCAGCAAAATAAAATGATCAGACATTCTTATCATTGATGATTTGTCACATCTGAAGTTAAAATTATTAAAAATCACTTTTTAAGGATTCCGTCTGTAACGTTTTATTTAGACGACTTTTCTACACTCCCCAAAAAGGTTTGCAAACCCAACACCCAAGTTTATAAGCACGTTAAAGCTTTTTAAATGCCTTGATTGTTTTCGGCATACTTGTTTCTTCAGAAAAGGTTTTAGTGTACTTTCTAAAATATACTTCTGAGAGAGATACGGACCCCAATCATGTTTGATCTATACAAGTACAAGTATCGTTATTCATAATTTTAGCGATTGTTAAGAAAAAATGATGTGTATCCCACTCAAATGAGCAATTGTGTAGGTAGTGACTTAAATACGCCAACACAGATGTCATACTGACCTGATGAAGCATATTTAGAAGTTTTACAGTAACTTTGTACTTTCGTAACTTTCATAAATTGAGAAAACGACAAATGTTTGAATATATAATTGGCAAAAACTATATTTGATCAATTTCCATCCAAGTCAAGCCTTGTAATTGAGGAATGTCACGCCTTGTCAAGCCGTGGGATTGAAAAGTGTCTAATCAAGTCAGACTTTTCACCCTAAGTCAAGCCTAAAGATCGAGTAATATCACACCAAGTCAAGCATAAATATCGAGTAATATCACACCAAGTCAAGCCTTAAGATCGAGTAATATCACACCAAGTCAAGCCTAAAGATTGAGTAATATCACACCAAGTCAAGCATAAAGATCGAGTAATATCACACCAAGTCAAGCCTAAAGATCGAGTAATATCACACCAAGTCAAGCATAGATCGAGTAATATCACACCAAGTCAAGCCTAAAGATCGAGTAATATCACACCAAGTCAAGCCTAAAGATCGAGTAATATCACACCAAGTCAAGCATAAAGATCGAGTAATATCACACCAAGTCAAGCATAAAAATTGAAAAATGTCACATCCTAGTCAAGCCTCATGATCGATCCATGTCACGCCCAGTCAAAGTTGAGATCGGTTAGTGCCACAAGACTAATTAAATGAAGTTGAGCGATATCGTATCAAGTCAAAACTCATGATAAGCAATGTAATACCAATACAAGTCTTAAGATTGAGAAATGTCACATCCAAGTCAAGCCTAAAAATGCCAGTATAATTCAACACCAAGTCAAGCGTCAAGATGGAGCGTATCTGAAGTAAAAGCCTAGAGACAAGCATAATTTCTCTAGTACCAATTGCTGGTTTAAATTATTTAAACTTAAGGAAGTTTCTACTTACGTAAGGTTGTGACCAGCAAGTAATGATTCATTCGCCCGTATGTCTTCTAAAGCCAAACTCACTGCCCCTAAACTACTAGATGCATTATAATCCTTGTGTTCACGAGGGGCAAATAATGCAACTTTTATTTCAACACTCATTGCAGTCCGTTGCGCCAAAATAAAAACTAATGAAAACAAACTAAGTTTAGTTTGGATTATCGTATCTTCTCTTGGCATGATCGTGGTTGTTTATTCCAAAACAACACCTGTTCGTTTATTTCACAATTTCATTTGTTTTGTGATAATGAGCTAGCTTCCAGATTAAGTCGTAGAGCTTAATTTATCGGGGGACGGCCTTTATCCAATGTCACGTACATCGATGATTGCCTCCGCTGCATTTATGAATTTAAACCCGACTACAGCATGTGCATGTTTTTAAAGATTATATATCCAAATCATGATAAAGCTTCATTAATATCGCTTATTACAATACCGTGTTATGACAGTAGATACGTTTAATTTGTTTCTAAAAACATCTCACTGTGAGGAGCTCTTTTCTTGATGGATTTGGTAATTTAAAGGGTGTTGAATTTATTTTCTCTTAATATAATTGTAGTACCCCATCCATAACGCCTAAACTCATTCCAGGCTTCCATTAGTCCTTAACTCCTGTAACCTTTTCTCTTACGATCAAAACAAGGAGGATTGGCTCCCAGGATCGAAACTCGATATTTTCCAACAATGAAAACGTCGAAATGTCGTTATTTTCTGAAATTAAAACCGACTATAAATTCAAAATAAACAGTTCAAAAGATTCGAACCAATATCTCGATCGTTTCTTGTGAGTTTTGGAATTTTTCGTTTGGAAATAAGACCAAAATTCACGATTTAAATGTTGAAGTGAACAAAATGGCGGCTGTTTGAATTCGAATTTTGTATTACGACATACCCATATATGGGACAGAATATCGGTGGTGCACTCTGGGAGCCAATCCTCCTTGCGATCAAAATAAACTGCTTTCCTGGGAAATTGTACGTCGAGACTGTTTCAACCTGATAGCAAAATCGCCTTCATTAGTTTTACGTTATTGGGTGCTATATATTTTCCGCAATAAATGCTGTTTTCCAGCAATAAGTGGCCCAGTGATTTCTGCAGTAATATTTATGACATACATCCAAGCCATGTTTTCTAAAACTAATCCCAAACCTTCAACATACTTGCACTTCATTTCGATTTGACTACGTTCGATGTCTTAGTAAATCAAATTTTTGATTTATCTGGTCATTGAAACATTACGCATGCGCAGTACTCTATTTGTACCTTATATTGGATGTTCATTAAACCTTTCAGTTTTTGGGTATCAATCTAGGGTTATTCTAGCAATAATCGGGCCAATTTATACGGAATGAATCCTACTTAATGTAGGTCGATATCTGTCAATAAAATAAACATCACAGAAAATTATATACATACTAATAGTTTTGTCCACTTTGCCGCTAAGTGGGTTGCCCTTTTAATGCTTTGGTGGTACCCTTCCCGCCATAAGTTTGGTAACTGGAAGTAATCATTTCATAGCATATGAAAGCCTGTCAATGTTACAATGTTAATCTCGTTTTTTAATCACAGTAGTTCAGAAAAGGATAAAAAACGTCTTTGTTTAAATTCCCAAACATTACCTGGCTTAAAATGGTGAATTTCGGTTCCAGACTAATGGAGGGGAGTGTATATCTTAGTCTAATCTTAGCCTGAAGTTCACAACTCGAATTGTCTTTCAATAAATCAAAGTAATTACACCAGATACATAAATATGACTCACTATCAGTTATGAATTGTTATTAAGACTAAAGTATGTATATATACTTCAATTTAATATTTTAATAACAATAGTCACGGAGATAAAAACATTACATTACCGGTATATTTGATTTTGATGATGTGAGTCCATTATTGGTATGCGTGTTTATTGTTGATATGCGTGTTTATTGTTGATATATGTGTTGACCAATGATATGCGTGTTGATTTGTGATTTGCTTGTTGATTGTTGAGATGCGTGTTTTTTTAGGTTTAAAGTTTTTTTATTATCATTTAAACAAAACAAATTACAAACACAGCAAGGGCCGAAGCAATGCATTATTGGCCCTGGTAGTCAAGAATTTATATAATGTAAAGTGAAGTTGCAATGAGATTTAAGGATCAACTCGGTAATGCAGAACAGTATATAAAAATAAAAACTTACTCATTTAAAATAGTAACAATTAACTGCAGAAAACCTGCAGTCATTTCAACAATTTTCTGATTTGTCAGATACGATAATGAGCAATCACCGTTTAACAAATAATTTACCCTGTCTTGCTGTCTGAGTTGACCAAACACGGTTAAATCAAAGGATGGCAGTTCCCCAAGTTCTTCCAAAAACAAGTTTCGCTGAACAATGAATAGAGGGCAGTGTAATAATAGGTGCATTGTAGACTGTGATCTAAAGCCACAATTACAACTTGGAATATCAATGTTTCTAAAATTATGTTTGAATAAATGCTGCCTAAAAATAAAGTCACATCGAGTCTTATTCAAAGTTGATTCAGTCTTCCTATCAAGATGCAGTTTTGGAGTAGGTAGCTTTATTTTAGAATTTTGAATACGTTTCCTCAGGTTAAACTTAAAACAATTTCTAGATTGGATAGCTTTCAAATCACCAGGCAGTTTCTCCCATGCTGTTATACAAGATATCACTGTACCCTTTCTGATCTTGGCCTTACAGTGAGCTGGTATTCTAAAAGATCTGACTCTGCGTAACCGATTTCCATTATTCATTACATTATGATTTCTATATAAGGAAAAGGCCTGGTTTACATAGGAAGGCATTTTGTTGTTATTTATGACGTCATAAGTAAACAATAGTTTCTTTTCATCCCTCCTGGCCCCTAGGGACCTCCAACCTAAGCATGAGGTGACTTTGGTTGCATTTGTACCTTGGGTACATCCACTGACAATCAATGCTGCCCTATACTGAATACTATCCAATTTAGAAAGTAAATTTAAGTTTGCACAATCAAAAATGATATTCCCATATTCTAAGTGAGGTAGTATAAATGCCATATAAATCTTCTCTAGATGTTGTGATCTTAAGTTATGTTTTAGTGCCATAAGTGGGTTCAACATCCTGTTACATTTAACAATTATACTGTTAATGTGTTCTTCAAAGTTTAAAGCCTTGTCTAAAATAAGTCCAAGATGTTTGTGACTATTGGTGAAAGGGATAGAGTCACCATTTAACACAATAGGAATTTGAGCAATTGGAGTTCTAGTTTTGGACTGGAAAAACACTTCCTTACTTTTACTTGTCTTAAATTTTAATTTCCAAGTCTTTGACCAGATCTCTATTCTATTAACATCGCTTTGGAGTTTTAGATAAGTTTCATGAACTGAGTCCTCCTTTTTGACAGGTAGAAAAATTGAGCTATCATCAGCATAAAGGTACAGAGTGCTATTTAAAACTGCATCGGCTAGGTCATTGATATAAAGTAAGAAGGGGACCTAATATTGACCCTTGAGGAACCCCACAATTTATTACTCCTTTGTCAAACCCCCCTAAATCCCTTCCTCCTGTCCCTAGAATCCCTTCCATTGTCCCATCAATATTGTCATATAGAGTATCTGAATTTATTGAAGTTGTACCATTCACCCTAACTTTTAATTTTATGCGTGTTGATTGACTATGTGAATATATTGCTTACTTAAGATACGTGCGTGTTCATTTCATCAATGAAGTTGGACGATGTACCTTCACTGATGATGTACACGTTAGCGTTCAGATTGTTTTCAAGGCCTAACCTTGAAGTTCATCAAAGGTCATTAAGGTTCATTTAAAGGACTACAATTCTTAATTTCAAGCGTTCGTGTTTTTCATGAATTAGATTTAACTGTTTTGGATTTTCTCTTGTAAAATGATGTTTTTATACGGATCACAAATTCAATGGTACATATATTTAAGACCAGGATAACAGGAATTTTGTTTCAACTAGCTGAGCCTGTTTTATCATGATAACTTGTAGTTCACCAAATGGTCCTTTCAACAGTAAATCTTCCCCAGGGAAAGGTAAACTTGTGAGAAGTGAAAAACCAACATGCTGTTAAAGATATTGTAATTTGCTCGGGTAATGTGTGGAACTGGAAATTGATAAGGATTAACAATTAACATCTTTGGATCGTTTGATTGATTGTTGTTCCAAAGGAATTTAGTCTAGATCGGTTTCATGGCTTCTCTATCTATTTTCGAACTAAGCATGAAGGTCCATTTAAAGTCGGGTGTTGAACCTTGAAAAGCCATATTTAGACTGAGGATTGAAAGTTGTTCACGAACGAAAGAAATTTCCAGAAATTTTTTAAGAGAGTTTTGTATTGAATGATGCAAATTTGGCTCTCGGATATGTTCAAATCCACCAAAGAGGACCTAAATTTTTAACATATTTCCCCCTAGTAGCGCGCGTTGGGAAAATCCATTCTTACGTGATAGTCGCAACCCCGGGAAATTCTTCGGACGGCATTGTGAATACATGTATCACATCAAAATTGATTGACCAATAAAAATGTCATTGGTTGGTATATTTGCATATCACTGCCATCTTTAAATGAGTTGGTGGACTAATAATATAGTCTTACTGCGATTCCTAACTTATAAATACAAATCAACGCGTTTGTATTGAAAATACAAGTGCGCACTTTTCAATACATTTGGCAATCCAAATCTCACCATTGCACAAGGTAGTGTTCGGGAAATGATGACAAAATGCACAAAAATGATGCCGTTCACTCTAAAAATGAAAATTATCTTTCTCAATACTTGAAATTTCATTAAATTAAGATAAGGTAGGTAACTAAATTGAGTTTTTTAAACATATCTATTGTTCGAAAGCTAGAAAAAACACCCCCCCTGGCTACGCCTATGAATCGTGTACACAAAATATATAAATTTTAAGTCAGTGGTATTGGGAGTCAAGTAAAATCAATATACATGTATTTATACATTGTTTGGTTATAAGTGTCAAATAGTCAAATATTTTGACACGAATTCTCATAATAGTCTCATGCGTTCGGTGAATCTACAGGCTCACATGCCACATGGGAATGGGACACTGTTCCTGGAAAGCTCTCCAAAATCAGCCTGGCTGTCCGGGTCGTCCCTGGAGCATGCTGGCTCTGTTTGTTTCTTTGCTGACTTGTCCCTCTTTAGTCGGTTCTTCAATGTCTTGCAATCGTTTATCAGCTTAGTTGGCTTCAGAGGTGCTATGACTCTCTTTAATCTCTTTTTGAACGAGTTCTTCCTTTCTTTGAAGTACTGGTCGCTCTCCCTGTTTGGGCTTTCCATGATAGATACACCTCCATCCTGTGGTTGCTTAACGCTGACTTGCTTTGTCTTGTTAATGGGAATTACTGCATCCATTGTATCATTCACCATAACATTAGCATCTGGAGTTCTATCTTCATCATGTTTTAGAACTGAGTGCTCGTCAGTCTTCTCGTTGATTTTAAATGATGTCACTTGTCTCTCAAAATTGGATGGCTTGTTTGTACAGAGTCTGCGTCTTTCTTTCATCGTTTCAAATCAAGGTGATCTTCTCAGACTGAATCGATGTGGTGTCTTCACAGAACCTACAAATGCAATTGCGTTTTGAACAACTTTCTCTCTGTCATCTAACTTACGCTGCAAAGCGAACAGCTCCGCTATACGCCCGTCCGCAGTACATGGATGAATGCCATCGGCTTTTGGAAAGAGATCATTATTGGCATTCTCATTTACGATGGTTTCACCCTTATTTTTCTCCTCTTTACGTCTGTCTTGTTTGTGTTTCTCTCTATCATTAACCACGGCACTGAGACTTAAATCAATTGGTTTTAGTTTGTGAATTCTGCCATGTGCGATATCATCAGTGACGATTGTAGGTCCAATTCTTTCACGATTGATAATCTCTTTAAATGATTTGCTGTTTTACCTTTGGTTGTCAATAGAAGGACCATCGTCACCATGGTCGTTAGTCTGTGAATGAGCACATTCTGCAAAGAGGCTGGTGCAGTCACGACGACGAATCTTGCTGACTTCTTCCCAGTTATTGAACGTGTTCTTCATGATCTCATCAAGAATATCGATTGCATTTTTTCTCAGCATCTGGAGTCTTCTTTCTTTTCTGCATCTTCGGGTGTGGTTCGCCACATTGTTGTATATCATCTGAAAAATAATACTGCTAGAATGTACGTATACCTAGGTGTAAACATAATCCAATTTTGTGCGAGGCATATCATCCATTTTGATCATTTGTTGTTTTAAAGGCTGAATCATATCTATAGGGGGTGACAAAATTATAAGCAACATGTATAATTGACCTACCAATCTATTCCTTACAATATCAAATGCAATATCTCCCAAAAGAATCACAATATGTTATAAACTGGTCAAGTTATTAATAATTCAAAGTGCAAAAATGGGTGAAAATGTTTCAATTCTCCCGAAATAATAAGAATGGTAACCATTCTTATAGAAAAATAATACATTATTGTAAAAATCCTTAGTTTTCCTGAAATAAACTATGCACTTTTGTGATTTTTAGAAAAAAGACATGACAAAGAATGGCATGAGGCAAAGATATTCTAAAATTGAAAAAAAATTGTTTAGCCTACTTGCTATATCTGTTTCTCTCTTTAATACTCACTAAGTTTATTTGTTTTGAATAAAATGGAAAATCTGAAAGGTAAATAAATATTAAATATTAGCGTGCAAAATACTTTTTGTGTTTGAATAGTATGATATTGTTGAAAAACTCTGGGGTGTCTTACTTGTCTTTTGAGTATGTGCTGAACCAGGGTCAATCGGATACGCCACCAAGAATCGCCATTTGCGTATCGTCAATACAAGAACCAAAACTAAAAGGACACAGGCTATACAGGCCAAATTTGTCACGTTCCAGTCTAGACGGAACCAACCACTCCTAGATCAATAAAACAATTACTTATTTACAGGGCTGAACAAGGGGACATGCCCATTCGGGATGCTGCGTGTTCACGAGACATACGTATATCTAGTTTACGTTGTCATAAATGTTATCTTTCGAATCTGGGACGTATGTAAAGCTAAGTTCACACCAACGGCGCTTTGATGGCGCTTTAAAGCGGCGTGGAAAGCGGCTTTGCACACTGCTTTAAAGCGCCATCGAAGCGCCGTTGGTGTGAACTTAGCTTTTATAAGACGTCCTAGAGATTTCATAACAAGAATGAGCAGAGAAGAGAAACTGCATTTTTCTCATGCCAAATCATTGAAAAATTCAAGCTCTTTGTCTGATGTCATCATTTCTAAAGAAATCAGTGTGGGCACTGGATTTCGTTTGTGCAGTGCTGAAGAAACTGAAAATGAGTCTCGAAGGAAGAAATAACGGTGTGCTCTGGCAAAACAGGTCAGGGACGTAGACAGCTTTCGGTCAGGGGGTGCGATCTTCTGTCTAAAGGTTCTATATTGGTTATGGTTATCGCACCCTCCCCTCCCCCCGGCAACGCCTAGCCTATGGAGGTAAAGAAGCTTTGGGCTTCGAGTAGAAGATGATGGAGACTGTTTTTTTATAATCGATTAATGACAATGGAAAAATTACACTTTGAACGCTTAAGAATGATTTTATACAAGACCTATCCTAAACCGAAAATGTTATATCTTTAAACCTTAGCCATTTGTACATGTATTTTATATGTGTTCAAATGGTTTACTGTAGACACTCCACCCAAGATCAGATTCCATCACTTTCATTATTTTGAGTTATTCAACTGTCATCTCAAAAAGTTTTAAGTTAGGTTTACACTTACAGACAACCCACAGTCCTGTTTTCCTAGTTCAGATTAATGTCAGCCTATGCTCACACCGGAATAGTCTGACAACGGTAAAGCCAGATACCGTTGTCACAAATGGGGGACATAACCGTCGCTTCAACTGTTTAATCACTTGGTCCTCATTTCATGGGATTTCCTCGTCGCTAATTCTGGGCACGGACTTTCTTCAGGTCCGTGTATCAGAATGCAACTAAAGGATCATCTAAAGCCTCCACGCGACTGTCTTGCGTCTAAGTTAGATGTTGTCCTATGCTGACCGTGCGTCATCATTTATCAGGTTATTCTCTTAAGAGTGTACAGGGTGTCAAATAAATATGTTCTGTCCCTTAATTTCAAGAGTATCATTTTTTGTGCATAAAAGTGCATCTAGTTGAGCTAGTTATCTGAAACTACTTGAAGAGTTGCTCCATGGAGCCTAGTTTTAATATGCTAAAGAACATTTCAGATATCGTTCAGACAAAAAGGCTTGCATTTTGTGGATTTTAAAGTTACAGAGGGAGAACATATTTATTTGACACCCTGTAAAATATATCGTTTGATGTTATGATCGGGGATTGAATATGGGTTTATACCTAGGTCAATATGATATTTTCATATCTTATTACGGCCATCGTCCAACCGCCAAAACAACGTCGACAAAGTTTGGGACTATTATAATATGCCATGACTTGTGGCGGGGAAATAAATATTACACGATATCAAAAAGCATTTTAAAATTAAGCAACAAGAAAACTACATGTGAGCTCAACACCCAAAATTTACACATTTAAAGGAATTCTGGGCTATAAAAATAACAAAATATTTGTTTGGGGACAAGATCAAACGACTTTGACATATTCTTTACCCTAGCTATTTTGTAATTTAACAATCAACAAAAGTATGCATACCATATTTCATCGGACAAATTCAGAAAAAATATTTTTTGATCGACGATACTCTGAGGTCGGTGTTGAAATATTTCAATTATTTAAAGTTCTGCCGTGTATTTGATTTTAGATGCTTCTAAATGATCTTCAAATGCTCATGATTTATAGTTGAAATGTTTTGACTTCCCCGCTTCACAAAAACAACTTTATCACCATTTACTTGACTCGAAAATTCACTTCCGGTTCATCTTAATAAAGATGAACTGAAAGTTCTCGTGAACAAGATTCAGAAATTATAAACCAAAACCGCAAGATCATGATTTAGAAATTTTGCTACTACAAAATTAACATGTCTAAGAACAAACAAGATAGTAGCACTAGTACATATAAACAATTTTATATTTTCATATAAAAGCAAACAAAGTTGTAACAAGCAATATATATATACAGTGTACAATACCTTAATAAAAGAGACACATTGTCACATCACTTGAAAAAAAAATATATTGAAAAACTTAATATTTACATGCAATTGGTTAAATGGTTTATATGAATGTAAAAGTTCTTTCAAAACGTATAAATTCTAAATCCGTCTACACACCATACAATACACACTCCAGGTAGATCACTCCAAAAAGTATGGGACACCCAACCCCTACACAAGGCAGACTATGTCTCCATAGTATGTATCATATATCATTTTGAAGCTTCAATTTTGAAATGCCTGTTAGTTTTTCCCATTTGTTAGTTGAACCAATAAACCAATTTTACTTTGTATATGCTAAAAATGATATATGACACCTACTATGGAGACAACGGTATATGTCTGTGTACGTAGAGAGGGGTGTCCCAAACTTTAGGGTCACCCTGTATAGTGATTGTATCAAAACGTAAAAACTCGTTTACCACTAGATACATTTGAGGTTAACAATTGTGAAAACTCAACATGTCCTGTCTTAATGAACTGCCTTCACAAGTATAACCTCACAGATCAGGCATGAATCATTTCACTCGCATGCGTGCTTTTTGATGATTTTCGGATGGGGTTGTACATTCCCCGTGCATTCCTCACCCCGAGGTCCCCACTTATGTAAAGCTGTCGGATTTGACCAAGATACGTCTACTGAATGTAGTTCACGAATAATGTGTTTTTGTGAACGGCCATGGACGTTTTTCGCATTGTATCCGGCATGTCCGAACATGGTCGTTAATACTCACTGGGAAAATATTTTTAACTGGTAACTATAATTATTATAAAAAATATAAAATAATAACATAAATTGAACAACGGTTTGAATGGCTTGTTTGACATGTTTGATGGTATTTGTTTTGACAGAAAGGAAAAACGAAACAAGGTAATGATTTCAATAGAAATACATATAAATGAATGTTCATGCACGGACTTTAAGTGTCCGTTGTTCATGAAATAAGTGTATACATGAATTATAGAAATTCCAAAATAGAATACTGTATTTTACAGTTGCCTTTGATATTAAATACCCCTGGTCAATACATAGGCTATAGACTATAACTTAATGAAAACTCATACAGACTGTAGCGAAGAAGCAAGTTACAAATTAGATTTGTCGTGTTCGTAATACATGGGCACATACACATATACTGCTGGGATAAACGAAAGAAACGGACACGAAACTGGAATCGAAAATATACAAAAAATTACCGAATTATTTGGAAAAATTGATGACGTACAGTTCATTTGTTTGTTTATTTGTTTCATTTGTTTGTTTATTTGTTGATGGGGCAATATGTCACTGACGTCACAGATAACGGTATCATATTCTGAGAACCCATTAACAAAAGTGTTATATGACGTCATGATAAAACAACATTGAAAATGAGAATATCTTAGTTGCTATGGATTACTATGTCGTAAAGCGTCATATATCGTCATTCTGCGTCCTTGATATTTAATACAGAACACTTGTCAAACGTGAAGTTAACAAACGAGCTTTTCATAGAAGTGTAAATTTTCTATTTCTGTAATTTAAAAATATGTCACCATTGTCGTAAGGGTTACACTGGTATATCCTTATATTACGTGCTTCTTTGAACAATACAACTTTGGTGGAAATCTTGACTGCACCATGGATAAAATGTCAATTTTAAACAATTTCTGAAAACCTAGAGTCCCAACTGGTTTAGAGAAAACAACCTGATACCAGAAGAGATAAAATTGTGTTATTGGTGGCGAACTGTGAAGTGAGTAATACAAATAAAATAGCGTCATATACGATCGTAAAAGCAATTTATACAAAGCTTTGGAAATGAGTTACATAAACAGATATTCATGTTTCAATTCTTCATCTGATTCCGCCCATGTTTTATCTCCGGTTCTTTCACTTGTTCGAACAGACGTATTTGATTGTCTTGTTTTCAGAAGGTAGAATACGATACATAAAAGAATAATGATAATTACACCTAACGCTGGAATCCCACAAGCTAAGCCAATGATTATGGAATTATCATGTGATAGGGAAGATACTAAATATGACCCTGTTGTCTCAGAGAATGGCTGTGTTGGTTGAATGGATGCCTGTGTTGGTTGAGTGGATGCCTGCGTTGGTTGATTAGATGACTGTGTCGGTTGAGCGAGTGCCTGTGTTGGTTTAATTGATGCCTGTGATGGTTGATTGGATGCATGTTTTGGTTGAGTGGATACCTGTGTTGGTTGATTGGATGCCTTTGTTGGTTGAATGGATGATTGTGTTGATTGAACGGATGCCTGTGTGGGTTGATTGGATGTCTGTGTTGGTTGAACGGATGCCAGTGTTGGTTGATTGGATGCATGTGGTGGTTGAGCAGATGCCCCCGTTGGTGGAATGGATGCTTGTATTGGTTGAGGAGATATCTGTGCTGGTTGAGTGGATGCTTGTGTTGGTTGAGGAGATGCCTGTGTTGGTTGAATGGATGATTGTGTTAATTGAGCGGATGCCTGTGTTGGTTGATTGAATGTATGTGTTGGTTGAGCAGATGCCTGTGTTGGTTGAATGGATGCCTGTGTTGGTTGGGAAGATGCCTCTGTTGGTTGAGGAGATTCCTGTGTTGGTTGAGTGGATGCTTGTGTTGGTTGAGTGGATGCTTGTGTTGGTTGATTGGATGCATGTGCTGGTTGAATGGATGCCTGTGTTGGTTGAGTGGATGCTTGTGTTGGTTGATTGGATGCATGTGCTGGTTGAATGGATGATTGTGTTAATTGAGCGGATGCCTCTGTTGGTTGATTGGATGTATGTGTTGGTTGAGCAGATGCCTGTGTTGGTTGAATGGATGCCTGTGTTGGTTGGGAAGATGCCTCTGTTGGTTGAGGAGATTCCTGTGTTGGTTGAGTGGATGCTTGTGTTGGTTGAATGGATGCCTGTGTTGGTTGAGTGGATGCTTGTGTTGGTTGATTAGATGCATGTGCTGGTTGAATGGATGATTGTGTTAATTGAGCGGATGCCTGTGTTGGTTGAATGGATGCCTCTGTTTGTTGATAAGATGCATGTGTTGGTTTTATGGATTTTTGTGATGGTTGAATCGATGCTATTGTTGATTGAATGGATACTTCCGCTGTTTGAATGTACAATTGTGTAGATGGTACAGTGATGTCTTCTGTTGGGAAAATGGTAGATGAAGAGGTGGTCTCTATGTTCCTTGAGCATAGGTCATTGTCCCTTATTGCAGTTATATTATTGATGTATTCATCTGACACAGACGTTATATTATTTCCAATCAGGGTTAATTCATTAATATTTGACATGCCTTGGCATATGTCGGCCGGAAGATGTTCAAGATTATTGTAAGACAAGTCTAATTCTTCCAATGATTGCAAACCAGAAAAGAAATCCGATTCTATTTGAGATATATTGTTACTATCCAGTGACAGCTTTTTCAGTGATGTAAGATTACCAAACATACCAGTTGTCAATATTGTCAGTTTATTGTCATTCAAGATCAACGTTTCCAATGATTGCAAATCAGAAAAGGTATCAGATTCTAACTTATCTATTTCGTTGCTGCGTAGCCAAAGTTCTACCAGTGATGTTAGATTGCTAAACATGCCCGTTGTCAATATTGAAAGTTTGTTTCCATTCAAGTATAACTTTTCCAATGATTTCAAACCAGAAAAAGCATTGGATTCTATTTGGAATATATCATTACTAGTTAGAGACAGCTCTGCCAGTGATGCAAGATTATCAAACATACCATGTGTCAATATTGTCAGTTTATTGTTTAACAAGTATAATCGTTCCAATGATTGCAAACCAGAAAAGGTATCAGATTCTAACTTATCTATTTCGTTGGTGTGTAGCCAAAGTTCTACCAGTGATGTTAGATTGCTAAACATGCCCGTTGTCAATATTGTAAGTTTATTATCATACAGGTATAACTTTTCCAATGATTGCAAACCAGAAAAGGTATCAGATTCTAACTTATCTATTTCATTGCTGCGAAGCCAAAGTTCTACCAGTGATGTCAGATTGCTAAACATGCCCGTTGTCAATATTGTCAGTCTATTTTTAGACAAATATAACTTTTCCAATGATTGCAAATCAGAAAAGGTGTCCGATTCTATTTGAGAGATAACATTAGCAATTAGACCCAGCCTTGTTAGTAATGTAAGATTACCAAACATACCATGTGTCAATCTTGAAATTCTATTGAAAGACAAAATTAATTGTTCCAATGACTGCAAACCAGAAAATGTATCTGTTTCTATTACATAAATATAATTATGAGATAGAACCAGCCTTGTTAGTAATGTAAGATTACCAAACATACCAGGTGTCAATATTTTGAGTCTATTGTAAGACAAGTCTAATTGTTCCAATGACTGCAAACCAGAAAATGTATCTGCCTCTATTGTAGATATATAATTATGAGATAGACCCAGGATTCTTAGTAATGTAAGATTACCAAACATACCAGGTGTCAATATTTTGAGTCTATTGTAGGACAAGTCTAATTGTTCCAATGATTGCAAACCAGAAAAGGTATCTCTTTCTATTTGAGATATAGCATTATCAGATAGAAACAGAAATGTTAGTGATTTAAGATTACCAAACATACCATGTGTCAATATTGCCAGTTTATTTTCAGACAAGTTTAACTCTTCCAATGATTGCAAACCAGAAAACGTCCCATGCTCTATCTCTGCTATGTTATTCATATGGAGCAATAAAGTGGTTATGCTAGAGTTGAACATGTCTGCTGTTACATTGGTTAGTTTTCTCCGAGCCAAGTTTAACACAACACCATCGGCCGTAGGGGGAATGATCGCTTGGTGTAGGATTATCATCACCAGTGACTTCAACATCACATTCTGGAAAATTTTAAAATATGACTATTTATTGTTATTTGTAAACGATTTTGGATATTTTTGACTTATCAGTTATCGGATTACCCAATATTACCATGTTCAATAGAAAGTAATATGTCCAATTAGTTTACTACTTAAATACCTGGTTAACCATCGACAACGTACAGTGACAAAAATACCGCCGTACACTTTAGATGTACGTTGTCAATGTTAACTGATTTGAAGCAAAAACTATGATGTAGGTTTGTTGTAGATTTTAAAAAATTAATCTGAGGACTACATAATGGATTTCACGTCGTATTCTCTAGACCTTTAATTTTCTAATTTCGTTAAAAGATTCTGGACCAGTACTCGATTTTTCGTGGTAAATCTACCCATGTAATTGATTGGTTGGAATTTTTTTCACATTTTCTTCGACCATTTTCCCCCCTGGCTTCTAAGAGTGTCGATTATATTTTTGAGAATATGTTTCTCTAAACTACACAATTTAGGATAGGCGAAGATTTAATAAATATTCAGAAATGGGCATATAAAATCAGAACTGTACGTTGTCAACTTCACAGTAAATTGTCTGTGTAATTGAAATTCATGAGAGGTAAAACAACGCAACAATTTAATTTCAAAATCTATCGATTTTCATGACTTAAGTGATATTCAACGAACATGTTCAAGTATACTTTTTAGATTTTATTTTAAAATATTTATTCACAGTTCTAGTATCCTTTGTACAGTTGATAAGGTAAATGCGATTTTTTACCTCTTGTCGAGTGCTACTTTATATTAAGAAAGTATTGGTGTGATGGTTAGCATGTGGCCATTAAGGTCACTGATCATTGATCATTCATTCATTATGTTTTGTTAAGTAACACTTTTATGAATCCCGTTTATGCTATATCATTCTGGAAAGTGCAGAGGTTCAATAGTTCAAGTTGAAGTAATACTGTAATTGTTCAGTTTCAATTTTAAAAGCAGCTGACCCCCCCCCCCCCACTCTGCCCGTTAGAGTTATAAAAAATACGTTGCCTGCATTATGGTTTACACCCCAGTCACATTTGTCGCACGGCGGCGGCAAGTCGACCGCAGAACAATTAAATCGGTGAATTTCTGCGGCGAGCGTAGAAAAACTACGCTCGCCTTGCGGCCTCCGTACGGCGTATGCAGATTTTTACAGGCCGCATGGAAGGCGTAGAAATTATAACTCGGAGTTATAATATTTGTTCATTTCTGAGGTCCCCGTAGAAATCAACTGGCTCAACAAGATTGAATCATTATTTGTCAATGTTTCACGATCACTTTTCATTTGACATTACATCCTAGCACTTTGAATAACATTTATAAATTGTCCTGATGTAAATAAAATGAAAAAAACTATTATTTATCAATATAAATTTAAAATTCACTGTGCGGCTGCCGTGGGAAATGTGACTGCAAAAGTATGAGAGCGCAGAAATTCTGCGGCGAGCGTAGAAAAACTACTGGCCGCAGAAATGATAGACCGCAAGGTCGCCGTAGGAAATGTGACTGGGGTGTAACTGTGAATTGAAATCTGTTATTCCAATGGGACTACGTACAGTCGAGTTGACAACGCACACTTCTGATTTTTAAAATTATAGCCAAAACATAATCATTTATTTTATTTTTTTTCAATTCAATTCAATTTATTTATTTCTTAATTCTTATATAATATACAGGGCGGGCCAAAAAAACGCCACTTTTTTCTCAAGACACTATAACTTTTTTATTTTCCGACCTACATACCCCAAATTTTGTTAATGTAACAAGTCCTTCAACTGGGATTACATTTGATCTAAAAGAGGAGTTCAATTGGTCCGCAACCCTATTTGATGATAGATTTTAGCTTTAGACGCCTTGCTGATATAGCAGTATCAATGAAATGTTAGCTATATTTTTTTCAACGTGTCTTAATTGCCAGCTTTAGTTGAGCAATTTTTTAGATTTGGTACCTTCATACCATCTCCTGGAGACCTTCCCATACCCTATACTCACTGGGGTTTGCATTAGGGCTATTAACTTGGCGGTCATCAGGGCATATCAGTTCAGGAACATTTTGCAAATTATGCTTATTTCTCATGGCACGCCACATGTTTAAGTGAGACGCTGGTGACATATTTTATTCAAGTAAAAGTGTATAATTCATGATCCATGGCTAGATAACAACCTCAAGTTTCATTCGGTATGCAAATTATGATTTTGTATCAAAAATGTAAAAAGTTATAGCATTTTGAAAAAAGTGGCGCTTTTTTGGCCCACCCTGTAGTTACACTATAAAAACAAGCCGCTGGACACCCTAATGGGTATATGTTGGGGTTTAACAGAAATTCTTAAAATGATATCATGACTACATATAAAAGAAAGCACTTATATTGTGTTATATGTAGGTATCTAAATATGGTATTTACAATTAATTTTAGGATGTACAATGTAGAAATGTTGCCAAAAAATCAGGTACCAATATAAAATCAACAATACAGTATAATATTTGTATTGTACATTATCGATAGATAAGTAGTTTTTTTATATGAAGATTTTTTTTATATTATCTTGTTCCAAAAATTAGGACCTAGATAACGAAGGGAAAGTTTAGAGCATTTAGGGATATGAAAATAATTCAATTCTCTTGTGTAATGATAATGAACATCAATGTTTATATCAAACAAGTCTTGAAATGGACTTTTAGAAGAATGTGTTGTTTGTACATGAACTGACCAGTAGAATATCTGTTAACATTGAAAATATAAAATATTTTAAGATCTTTAAATAGGGGATGGGAATGAGAAAGTCTATCTAAACTAGCCTCAAGAATTGTTTCCGCAGTTTATGTAGACAATCATAGAATGATTTAAATTTGTTACCTAAGATTATTTGTTGCAATAATTTAATTGAGAATGTATCAATGAGTAGTCAATTTAATTGAGAATGTATCAATGAGTAGTCAATTGTTTTGAAACTGTCTATTTGAAGTAGATGCTTAATGTGATAAAGAAAACCAATAACGCGAGAAATCTTTGTTTTAACAGATTTTATGTGCTCTTTAAGTTTCAGGTTTTTATCGATAATAATTCAAAGAAAGTCAATTTTATATTCTCATTGCGTATTTTAAGTTTCAGATTTGTTTGATTTCTTTTGGGTCCAAATAGAATAGCATTGGTTTTGCCAATATTAAGTGAAAATTTGTTTGCTTTTATCCAGTTATCTATTGAATTCAAGTTTGGTTTGGTTCTAGTCATAGGTTCATTTAAATTATAGTCACTATCAAGAAGATTGGTGTCATTAGCAAACGCAATAAATTTTAGATTAGGGGCAACAATATCATTTATGTAAAGAATAAATAATAGTTGTCCAAGTACTGAGCCCTGCAGAACACCACAATTTAGAGATGATTGTCTCGATTCATTATTGTTAATGGTGACATATTGTTTACGGTTTTTTAAATAGCTTTCAACTAGGACTTAGCTGATGCCATAATATTCAAGTTTATGTATCGATGTCATGATTAATTCTGTCAAAGGCCTTGGAAAAATCTAATGTTATGCCAATTCTCGTTTTTTCCAAATCAGTTTATTTTCAAATTTGTTCCATGAAATATAAAATGGCCATGTAGGTAGAATTGAAGTGAAAATAATTTCAAAACGTTCTAAAAAACCAATGAGCTTTTCTAACAATTTAGAAAATACCGATAAAACTGAAATTGGTCTAGCTTGAAGGATTTGTAGTGACACCTTTTTTAAATATAGGTGTTTCTTTGGCCAATTTCAGGGCGTCTGGGAAAATACCAGATTTAAAAGATAAGTTAAAGTGCCTGATAAACTATAAAATGCGCATGCGTCCCGGTGTTGATAAACTATAAATAGCGAAAACCCAGGGTTTGTCATCACAAGGTAAGCCAGGACGTGTTGAGCGAACATCTAGTGTTGATATTGAATTTACATGTAGCCAGATAAGTTTCCTTATTGAAATTACATATAGTTATCAGCAATACTTTGTAGGTGATAATTAATAAAATATGAGTATATATGAGAGAAATTGGCCATTTCGAACCTGTTGAAAGTTTGTGGCTCTCGGCTACACCGGGGAATTTACTTCCATGAGTACAGACACAAATGTGGGGCTCCCCAAGAGGAACGCGAGAAGGTGACCTGGCATCAAATGTACGACTAAATGCTTCTATCGAGTAGATAAAAGAACGAATAATAATAATAAGTTATTGCAAACGACAAATCTGAGCATTCATCTCACTGAAGTATTTTGAAGTGAAGAAAATATGATTTTTGTTTTGAAACATGGATTAGATGAACGTAACTTCATTCTGACAACTAATCAAAACTGAACAAAATTGATTATACGTAACAGACGATTTATTGTTTTACAATGTTTTGATCGGCTAAACGAATGAAACCAAGAAATTATATGTAAAATGGCAATTTTGAAATGTAAAATTTAAAAGTGACAAACACAACCTCCCTATCCACTCTTTATGAGCCCTAATATGTACATGCAGCAGTGGTAGTGTACAGCTTATTATCACACTACTGGGCTTTGTATTCTAAAGCTTGTTGTTTTTAATAACACTGTTCACTCGACGTAAATGTTTTGTGTGTGCGCAGTCAACGATAATCATTGTTTTATCCCGGTTATATGACCTCGGCAATTATAACAAAACCGTACTAAACGAAAAAAACGCAAATAATAGAAAGCTTTCACACACATATAAAAAATGAACTAGTCTAATCCGCCAGTATAAACTCTGTTGTATACGTAGCCAGGTCGGGCGCACACTTTAAGTATATACAAGAGTGGATCAACTACAAACTGTCTTGCAAACTTAAAAAGTGAGGGTACAATCAGATAGTATGGTAGAAATATGTGGTATAAAGCTTATTTTTTAGTTTTGGCAGAAGTTAAGATACCAGAAGTCAACCAGGGTATATTAGGATCATCATTAACCTTGATAAATTTGGATTTGAGTTGAAATGAAG